CCCTACTCCTCCCGGGCGGCCAGGGTGAGTGGCCGGAGCTCGCGTCCCCCCCTCTGGGGTCTGCCAGGGGCGCGTGGCGGTCGTGGGGAGGGGCCGGGAGGAGTGGGAGACGGACTTGCCTTGCCACCGCGGGCTGTTCCCGCCTCCCTCCCAGCTCCCCTCCAAGGGGAATCACACACCCCCACCCTCTCCCCTGCACGCTCCATCAGGAGACTGCACACACTTGACTTACTACTTGGACCCAGTCCCAGCTGCCTGCTTTGCCGCATCCCCTCCAGTGAGTGGGGTGCCCAGCTCAGCTCTTCCGCCCCCGTCTCTGGTCTGCACAGACCGCTCGATCTCCAGCTGCCCTCCACTCCTTCCCTGGACCACGGTCCTGGAGGGCTGGGGTTTGGCCTGGTGCTGGGGGCAGGCAGGGCTGAGGGGGAGGGAAAGGAGGGTGTGTTTTTGTTAGGTGCTTCCATGCTGTGCCGCCTCATCTGAATCCTGCCAGCAGCTCAGTGTGCTAGCAGCTATGCGTTTTAGAGAGGGGGCCGTGGGCTTCAGCTTTCCGGCTCATTAGAGGCAAAGCTGAGGCCCCATCCCAGCCTCTTCTCCAGGTTCAGGAGAGGGCTTCTTTCTCCCAGGAGCATGCCTTGCCCCAAGGCTTCCTGCACACCTGGAATGTCCTGACCGCGCTGGGATGAGGGCACCGTTAGACAGGAAGGGCTTGATGTTCTGGGCCCTTCAGGCTCCCACAGCCAGCGGCCAGCCACAGGCTCCTGGTGATGATACCAGATTTGCTGCCACTTCTGTTCTTCCTGCCGCAGCACAGATTGGCTTCCCAGACAGCCCTGCTTCAGGTTACTGCCTGAAATGGGTGTAACGGGTGTTGCATTGGTTGATTTAGGCAAGACCTCGTCTCTTCCCACTACTCCTGGAGTTAATCCAGTTTCCCTTAACCAATTTTGGTGGAAAGGAGTGTTGGGAGTGCTATTTATCCCATTATGCTTAGGCAGCTAAAAAAAAAAAAAAATCCTGAAGGATGGTTTTAGATTCTTTAAAAAAGAAAACCCTGAGGCTGGTTTCTGATCTCATGGCCAACAGCCTAAAACCTGGCTGGGGTCTGTCTGGGAGACCAGAAAAAACAGCCAAACTCGTTAGGTCTGGGAGCTGCTTCCTTCTGTGGAAGCTGGTTGGTATCATGCAATTGAGTCTCAGAAACCCCTCCCTACCCCATCCCCAGCATCCCTGTGCCAGGCCTCTTCCTAGGCGGGGAAGGAAAAGTTCCATTTCCCCAGTCAAGGGAGGCCAAGGCATTGGGGATTGGGGCTACAGGGAGGGGCCCGATTGGCATACAGGCCAGGCCAAGGCAGATGCATCTCCTGCCTGGAAGACAGAGGTCTCAGGCCGTGGCATATCAGGCCCGGGCTGCAGGCGGCCACTGGAAGGCAGGGATCCTGTTCAGGACTGAGAGCAGAGCTGGAGTCAGCTGCCTTGGTTTCTTGCAGCCCTGAGACCCGCTTGGAAGATGAGGGCATAGCGATGTCCTGGCCTGGGTATGCCATGAGCTGCATGGGCTTCTGAAGTTCACTAACCCTGCTAATGTTAGCATTTGGCCACCTGTATTGGGCAAAGCAAGCACAAAGAATCCAGACTCTTTCAAAGTTCTCCATCTGAAAGTGGGGAGGCAGGTTTAGCTCCACAGAGATGGGGAGAGGGGGCAAACCAGAGAGGAAGGAATGAGCCAAGATGCCTGGAGGAGTCAAGTTCTATTTCTGAGCATCCTGGGATCTTTGGGGACTTCTGACCCGCTCAGGTTTTTCTCCTCTGGGATCCCAAGAGGCTGTGCCATCAGTGAGTTTACTTTCTCTTCCGCTAACTGCAGAACGGCCTAGCCAGAAGCTTCTTTGAACAGACTTAGAGCCTGGCCAGCCCCTCGGAGTCCTCCAGGATCCCAAAATGCTTTCCTTGTCCCTTGGACATGGAGTCGTGTCAGCCAGGGCATTCCACTTGAGGCCTTGACGTTTGAATGGAGCAGGGTTCATTCTTCCATTTAAGCAATGAAGAAACCAGGACTAGAGACATTAAGTGCTTTGCCAAAGACACAACTCCGCAGAGCCAGCAAACTGCCCCTGGTTTCCAGCCTTCTGGTTGGCAATCCTGATGTGAACAGCTGTGCCGAGCATGTTTAGTATGTGTCCCAAAAGAGGACTTGCCTCCTGCAAAGAAACCCCGGCAAAGGCAAGCCCTCAACTGCTCCCAGGATGTACAAGCGGGAATACATCATTTTAAAAAATGGACTGCTACTTATTGAGAACCCCATGTGGGTACTCTGTTGTAAGTACTTTATGCGAATCTCTAATCCTCTCAGTAAACTTAAAGCAAGTCTATTATCCCCATTTAACAGGTTGAGGCTATGAGAGGGTAAATGACTTGCCTGATGTCACACAGCCAGACAGTGGCTGCTGGCCTTGCTTGGAATCAAAGCCAGAGTCCCTGACTCCCAAGCCCTCACTCTTGTAACTAAACATATTCTTTCCACTGAGCTAGGCTGTTTTCGCGATGGCATCAGAAAATCCAGGGGCAGATGGGGACGTCAGAAGGGACACTTACTCTGTTACCTCTTTGCGTCTGAGGTCACAATGCCAGGCAGGGAGTTCTGGGCTTTGCTCTCTCCTACCAGTTTACCCCCTCCCACGGTCCCTCCCAGCCAGCCCTGTTCCCCAGGCGTGTGTGTGACCTTTCCTCACTCCCAGCTGCTGCCTCCCTGGAAGCAGCCTGCAGTCCTGCCTGCAGTGGGTGAAGGAGGCTGAGAAGCAGTGCTCTGCCCTGAGGTGTCTCTTCACACAGAGCAACCCAGTCATCTGAGTAGTGCATTATGACAGGAGCAAAAACGATACACACAGAAAGTGAACTGAGCTGATTATGAGCCTGTTGCCTAGCTACAGGCCAGGCCTTCTGAGCTGTCCGCTCAGGCAGGCTCCTGGCCAGGGATGCTCACCCTTGCTCCAAGCACTGTGGCCAGGCCTGTGGGCGGCTGCTGCTATGCTTTTGTTTCTGTGGCCTGAGTTGGGGTCAGGCACAAGGGGCAGACTGGTCTTGTCCCTGCCGCTCACTGCCTAGGGCAGAGTGAGAGTTCATCAGCCTGAGGGGGACCCGTGGAGGTTTGACAGCACCCAGGTCATAAAATCATGTCTTCCTCCTTTTCCGAGAATAGACAGGAGACCCCAAGAAACGGGGCCCGGAGTACTCTCCAGATTCTCAGGGGTCAGGCTGACTTTAATTCACTTGTCAACCCTATTGAGGATTGCAGTCTTCTCCTTAGGCTAAGTCAGTTGATTTTTCCCGTGCTATTTCCCTTCTGAGTAGAAGAGCTGACCTACAGGACGCCCCTTGCTCAGGAAAGCAGCTGGAGCTGGGTTCTCACCTGTGTTAAGCATGTGGGCGTCAGGTGCTTTCTACTATCCCTGCCCAGGTGAGGCAGGGATTATAACTTATTTTGTTTTGGATTTTTGAGTTAGGGTCTCACTCTGTTGCCCAGGCTGGAGTGCGTGGCATGATCACAACTCTCTGCAGCCTTCACCTCCTGGACTCAGGTGATCCTTCTGTCTCAACCTCCTGAGTAACTGGGACTACAGGTGCATGCCACCACACTAAGCTAATTTTTTAATTTTTTTGTAGGGACAGGGTCTTGCTATGTTGTCCAGGCTGGTCTCGAACTCTTCCTAGTGTCAAGCGATCGCCTGCCTTGGCCTTCCAAAGTGCTGGGATTACAGGCATGAGCCATGACACTAGTCTAGCCCTAGGCAGGGGATTATTAACCTCAGTTTACAGATAAGGAAACTGTAGCCTGAAAGGCTTGTTCACAATCACATAGCTGGTGCATCCAAGTCAGATCTCATGAGTCCAAGTGCTTCTATCACTGCCTCTTTGCTCCTTCCCAGAGAGGGCCTCTGGCTCCCAGAGGTCTCAGAGTAGCCCCTCACCAGGGAGCTTCCTCCTTCACTCTCATTTTTTCCTTCACTTCCCCTTACTGCCTAGAATTGCTGAAGTTTGAATATTCTCTCTCTTTCTATTTCTCTCTCTCCTCACTGTGAAAGGTTCATAGGAAAAATGAAGGGAGACTTGATTAGGAGAGACTAGGGTTCCCCTGGTCCAGGCAGAGGAATGAAACCAAGGCCTTCTAGAAAAGAACTGCAGAGCTCTGTTCCTGGCTGCCCCGTTCTGAAGGTTCGCTGGCTTCTCTGGTCTGGGCATTGCCTGGGGACGGGCTAGTGGTCATGACAGGCTTTTGAGTGAGGACCAGCACTCAGTGATCCTGTGTGCTCTGAGCCAGGGTGAGTCAGGAACCTGAGCCCAGGAGGGTTGTGTCCTGCTCTTCAGCCCCCCAGGAGGGCAGAGCCAGCCTGCCCCAAGCAGGTCCCTCCTGAGGAACAGGAGGAGGCCAGGCCAGAGACCCAAGGCCTCTCTGCAGACCCTGCCCAGCACCCTCCCAGCTTCTTCCTGGATTTGTTTTGTGTTTTACTCTCTCGTTCAGAACAGACCAACATTTGCCTCTGAACATCTTGTCTCTGGATAATGAGGTGCTGCTGTTTGTCACCATTTGGGGTGGGGTGTGGAGTGGGGGGTGGATAAGAGATGTGTGGGCTATTTTGGAGAACAGGCAGGAGCAGAGTCAGGCAGCTGGGCTTGGGAGCAGGAGACCCTAGGCCCTTCGCCTCCAACATGAGCCACGGCAGCCTGGGATACTGGACACCAGAGCATTGTGCCACCCTGGTTCTCTGGGCACAGCTGACCTGTCATGACCCCTGGCCCAGCTCCCTTCTGGGGTTTTCTTCAGGCTATGGGGTGGTCAACTGGCTCCTGGCAGGGGTCCTTATCAGGAAATAGGCTTGGTGCACCCTAGAGAGCAGTAGAGGTCCCAAAGCACCAGTAGCATGGGTCTGATGCTCTCTCTGTGACGGGCTCACCAGGGCTGAGAGAGAGAGCGAGAGCAGGCCCTCACTTCGGCTCCAGTCATTCGGGAAACATTAACTGAACAC